AAATAATTTATGTAATCTTACTTTATATGTCTCCCGCTACACCTCCATGTGATGAAATATGTGAGTTGGTTTTGTGTCGGTGATTATAAGCCACTAATTTACTCTTAAAGTGGCATGAGCAGACATTCGAGGGCTTCAATCAAAGTCAAAATCACTTGTTTTCTTTCTCATTGGCACAAATAGAAAGGTCTTTAAACCAAGTGTTCATCGTGTTACTTTTCCCACCTTGAAAGCATCCTTTATTGTTTTATATTTCGGCTAAGTGGCTTTTGATCATCCCCTGTTTCCTGCCTTTGAAAACTTTTTGCTTCAGCGGTTCATCAAGTCGGCATGACTGCTGCCCCTGGCCTCATCAGCCGCTTTTATCTCTTTTCGTCACATATTTTTAAGTCCTTGTTTTCTAAGGCGACAACTTCAATAATGATTAAATCAATAGATTCTGTTGACAATCAACTTGATTAGGGCAAAATTTGGTTTGAATTCTTGGGGTCTGCATCAGATATTCTTTATTTACTCAGTTTGTTCCCTTTAAAGCAATGTTTTTTTAAATACACGTGATAGTTTAAATTACAGGAAGAATAATTTCTCACACACACACAATTATACACAACTATAATGATGTGGGAATTCGAATACGAGACTTTTCCATTATTTACTAATAGTTATTTGAGAATTGGCAACGTAACAGTTTATTAACAAAACTGGTACAGGAATAGCAAACTAACAAATTCTCAAGTCGTATTATTTACTATAAATTTAGTTTCTACAAACCACAGACTGATACCCACAATAGTAATTTAACTGAATTTTTAAAGAGACAATAAAAGACTTTGGCCACACACATAATTACTTTAATCAAACAACCCTTTCCAGTTTCCTAGTAAAACTTAGTTTCTCTTAAGCTGTTGCAATTGGACCCAAACTGATATTGGTTTCCACTGCTTTCATGGCTTCAAATCTTGGCTCCTTGGGCTGGAACTTGACGCCAGCATAGAGCTTCATGTAGTCTTCGAACACGAATTTTGGGTACACTTGATTCTTCTCCTCTGCTTCCTTCTCCACCAGTGTTGGTGCAGGGTAGATGACAGCATCACTGCCAGGGTTGTAGAAGGAAGCTATTGACATTCTGGTGCCATCAGTTTGGGCAATCACTCTGTGCTCCACACTCTTGTACTTCCCATTAGTGATCACCTATATGTTTATTATATATATATGTAAGTAAATTTAATATTAATTGGGCATGAAGTAACATTCATTCGGAATATTGGGTTACCTCAATTTGGTCACCAAGGTTGATAACAATGGAGTGGCGCATGGGGGGCACGTCAATCCATTGGCCATCTTTAAGGAGCTGCAGACCACTGACCTTGTCATCCTGGAAGAGCAGGATGAGGCCACCGGCATCGGTGTGAGCCCGGAGACCCTTGATCAGCTCAGGGTTGGGACAAGGAGGGTAGTTGCTAACCTTGGTGCCAAAAGTTGGTCCATTTGTGCCATAGAAGGCCTTCTTGAGGTACCCTTGTTCAAGTCCAAGATTCTCACAGAGCAAGTCTAGGAGCTGCTCTGCTAATTTCTCCAACTTCAATGCAAATTCCTTCATCACATTCCTGCATATTTCATGTAAATTAATTTCTCTAAAGAACAAGCACCAGCTAGCTAGCTAGCATTATGTACAGAGAAATTTAAAAGTAGTGTGTGATTGGTTTTACCTGTACTGATCCTCAAGATCTGGAACTTCAGATATGTTGGATTTTGGAAGATG